AAAAAAAAAAAAAAAAAAAATCATTCTGTAATTTTACAGGCCTTTATGGTGGTTAGCACAAATACCATGTTCTTGGTTTCTTCTGCCTGCCTTTCACACTGTACATACAGCAAAGGGAGGATTGACTGTACCAGTGCCCCATACAACACTGAGATCGCTACGAGTTCTTTGACAGCAAAGTAGCCAGCCATTAGTTCCATAAATCCTAAGCAGCTAGTCAAATTTTCTTCACAAGAACCACCGAACAGCTGATGTTGTGGTAGCCTGACATGGCACTGGGCCACCACTTAATTCAATGGATTTACTCCTGATTGAGAACCAGGTATAAGATTCTTATAACTACCGAACAGGTAAAAGGATCCAAGAGGTAAAAGGCTCATATCCAGTTACAAGTCATTTTTTCCTCTCTTTACTTCTTTACAACTACGGAAAGGGTGCTACACAGTATATAACTAACACTGCCGTGTTCCTTACAGTCAAATCTTTAATTAAAGACTAAAACGGTCATTGCTAGCTAGTGATGGGCACTACCAAACACCACAATATTTATCCTCCAATCCAAAAAAAGATGGTTTAGGCTGATTCATTTTTGTGGGTCTTTTAGAAGAAGGCCTTCTCAAAGCACGGACAGCTTTGAAGTTCTGTTGTCCCGTCGCTTGTGTGTCTGGGCTCACCTGCAATGTCCCAAAGCTGAAGTCGTATGATCTCAGACTCTGACCACTGCACCACCTTCAGAGCGAAATCCACTGAAAGGCCCCAAACAGAGAGAAAGTCTTATTAGAAATTATGCAAAGCCACCATGTCTTCCCCCTCCTCACTATCTTTTGCATCTGTAGTTAGGCTTCACACTTGGGTGGCAAAGGCAAATTAAATTGGGTCATATATGAACACAATGCGTCATTTCCTCTTTCTCTGTACACAAGCTTCCTCATTATCACATAGTGGTCTATCACCATGCCTACAATAGTACTCCATGCCTACAATATCATGATCACTATGCCTACAATAGTACCCCATGGGGAATCTACTGGTCCAGCTCCACGGGGGTGGAGAACGTCGACGGGGCTAAGAACATCAGACAGCATCTGATGAAGCTGCTTACAAAAGCTTATGCATC